ACATGTCCCTGGTTGCATGCACTTCTATAAACATTGTTTCTGCATAATGTTAAAAAAATCCTGAACAAAGTGTGAACTAAATTAAAATTCATTTATACTAAATCTTCAACATGGCACCCAAAGATATTCAATTCCATGACAGTTCCCCGGATTTATGCAATATAGAAGTCACTCACCCAATACATGGCCGAGGCACGCCAGGGCAGCTAAACACACGAACAAGTTCACAACTAAGGTCATTCTTGACTGTAAGATCGCAACACAACAGAAACTGAACCTTCTCGGTGAATATTCCCGTATTGGCCAAAATCTCACAACGCTTGACAATTTATAGAAGACAGAATTATTAGATACAGGACGCGACCTTTCCTCTTTGAGAGCAGGATATTTCACCGCGTCATCAAAATGTCGTTCTTGTCACATTCAGCGAGAGTTTCACGAACTAAAGCCGCTTATCGAGGTTTGTTATAGTTTCTAATTGTGAAACGTTTATATTATATGCTATTCGGGTTTATCAGTACCTTTGATATGACATGTAATTAAGGGCGTTCCGCGACGATGACAGTAAATGTATTATTTGACCTCCATCCTATGTTGACACAAACTGTATAATTGGGATTAACGTCAAAATTCAGGCAGACAAATCCGTTTAATGATAATCGCAACAGAACGGGGCAAATGCTAAAGTATTTTGAATGTTACAGTCAGTTGTTGCTACTGGCGAATCAGGTTATTGCCTGCTCCAGTGTATAGGACGTTCCTTCCAGATACTGCATAGGGTGGCGTGTTAACCTCATACAAACTATCGACTAATTTATGTCAATTGTGGACGAAATACAATACAAATTGTCCTTATACCACCTTTTAATTAACTTATGTCAACTGTGGACGGTATACAATACAAATTGTCCTTATACCACACTTAAGTCAACTGTGGACGGTATACAATACAAATTGTCCTTATACCACACTTATGTCAACTGTGGACGATATACAATACAAATTGTCCTTATACCACACTTATGTCAACTGTGGACGGAATACAATACAAATTGTCCTTATACAACCTTTTAACTAACTTATGTCAACTGTGGACGAAATACAATAAGAAATAGCCCTTATACCACCTTTTAACTAACTTATGTCAACTGTGGACGAAATACAATACAAATTGTCCTTATACCACCTTTTAACTAACTTATGTCAACTGTGGACGAAATACAACAAAAAGAGCCCTATTGCACCTTTTAACTAATCTATTTCAACATAATATAAATAAATACAAAATGCAATAGAAATGGCCCGTACACCTGATGTTTGCACTTGAATATACCACATTAAACTTGCAACAGACGTATAGAAACCTATTTCTTTATACCACAGCGACCATCCAAAGCAGAGCTTATGATGTAAACCAATGAAACCAATGGATTGTTTGTGTAGGATCTTGGTGTAGATAGAAAAGAAATTTCATTCTAAATTTTAAACATGAATATTTGCTACTACCGCCAAGATCTACACCGAGGCGGCTCCACTCAGACTCGCGCCCCAAGCTTTCACGTTGTTTTTGTCGGCGTTTTTAGCACAGTTTATTGCACTTATTCAAAGAAAATTCATGATTAACGATGGACGTTTGGGGTCAGTTGCCCGAGACGCTGGAATGTGGGCACGTCAGAAAGCTATAACAGTAGATCCTGGTTTCTATGTTTTTCAGGGCCATGACCTTGTTCTTGTGTTTCATAAAGCTCTGAGGTCTGCATCAATTGGGGCGTTCCCCCGCCGATAAGCTGACAAAGGTAAATGGCGTTAAACCCAACTTACTCATTTAAGCCAGAGTGAGAGAGTTTAGTTTTACGCTGCTTGTAGCAATATTCCAGCAATATCATGGCGGGGGCCACCAGAAATGGGGCTTCACGCATTGTACCCATGTGGGGAATCGAACCATGATCTTCGGCGTGACGGGCGAACGCTTTAACCACTAGGCTACCCCACCGCCCCTTGTGTAGACGAAGCCCAGCCTAGACATGCTTACAAAGTTTCCTCCACAACAAAGGCTGAATGTAAAACAAGCATCACATTGTCTGAACTACGTTTACACACACCAACCGAGTCCCAAGTGTAAGTGGTATTAGTCTCGCGTATCTATCTATCCGCATATGGACCTCTGTGAGCATTATTCAAAACCTCGTAAAATCCCCACAGCGGTATAAATGTTTAACAATGACGAATCAGAAATATCCAGTGGTTAAGGTACTACACGTGGCGCATGCGAAAATCAATTGATTATTTATAAGATACACTATGGGATGACAAAGGCTTCACACATGAAGCCATTATGTGCATTAGGCTTCTCACACACCTTTGCTGGAAAGTTACATGTCCAGCCGCGTTCATTTCATCGATAACATCCGTCACCGGCCCTTTGGACTCCAGACACAAGGATCATGGCTTGTGTTACTCCATCCTTCTAACGTTCGTACCAAGTGACAAAATACATCGCGGTAAGTACTGACAATAATCTGTGTATAGGAATTAACGCACGGTTGACCATGTGGCATTAATCAATAACGTTAAGTGATTGTGGCAGTTGTGAAATCATAAACCCCCGACTGTGTGGACATCATGACCATTTGACGTATCGCTGTTTCAAAAGGCCTCCATCCCTTTTTGTTTAAAGTTTAAGACGTGTGAATTGTGCTTTGGGATGGTGCTGTTGTGCGAGGTCAAACTGGTTTTAAGAACTCACTGACACATTTTAAGCAGTATCAGTTCTTATTCCCGAATTTCCCGGTTCTTTGTGTCTGGACATTATGGGACATAGATCATGTGATATCTAAGTAGGGTGTCTTTAGTTGCGTAGGATAATTATAATTAGGTGTATTTTAAATATGCAACAAAACCCTTTCCACGATTGAATAAAATCTATGCTAAAACAATGTCTTTACGAATCCGTCTATATCATTAGCATGTGTACATGAACAAATCGGGAGTATATCAGGTGTTTACGGTCAGGTGAGCTTGTCCTTCCTCGCCGGTGGCTCCTGACACAAACCCATGTTAAATATAGGCTGGTCTGCGCTCAGGGTTGCGCCGTGTAGTCGATCAAGTCGAACTATAGGCGGATAATAACACAAGATCCCTGGAACACTGTAAGCTATCAAATATACATAATCCTTGCTCTTTATGCCCTGGCTGAGTGCCATGTACTTATACGCTTAACGGTGGAAACACACAAGGGAGATAACTCCAAACATGGATTCTGCAAAGAAGGACATATCTTTTAAGGCCGGCTACAAAACTGTCATTGATTCAGAAAACAGCATGACTTCAAAATATGTCTTCTAAATACGATAGGTGTACACATCACATTACATGATGTTTGGGGATCTAGTATACCATTTACAATATTACACATGATACTCCCACGCACGCAAATATGACATTATATATTTTCATTTGGTATTGAATTGTATTCGTGAATTTACACCCCTGAATTGCCAGAATTCGCTGACTAATACTGGAATCGAATACCCGACCCACTCACTCACAAACCATAAAACACAGGGTGATTTAGGAGACTCTGTGCGACCATGTCCGTGTTCTTGTGAGGGGAGGGGCGGTGGGGTAGTCTAGTTGTTCAAGCGTTGGCTCGTGACGCCGAAGACCCGGGTTCGAATCCCAACATGGGTACAATGAGTGAAGCCCATGTCTGGTGTCCCCCGCCGTGATATTGCTGGAATATTGCTAAAAGCGGCGTAAAACCAAACTCAGTCAGTCAGTCTTGTGAGGAGATCAAACAACGCGGACTCAGCAAATGTTCGCAGCAGCTTTGACACGGAACCAAAGCCATGATTGTACTCTACCCAACCGTAAATACTTTGGTAAAGGCATGCAATAATCTGGGGAATGGTCTACTTTTACTATGGAACTAAAAGCCGGATTTTACTCTGCTGAAACGTAAATACAGTAGCAAATGCATTCATTGATCAAGGAAATGCATGTATGTTCCGGATATGAGCGTTGGGTGTTTCATGAAGTTACACCTTTGAAACATCTCCTCGAGTATTGTCGTATCGCCAACACCTTTGTCATAGTGACCAGATATGCAAAAGTAGATTGCCCAGTAAATACTTCATCAAAGAATATTTCCAGTGCGTTCCTTTAGTTGTGAGAGGTTCTTTCTAAATAAGTTAGTTTTGCAACATTTACGCAGGCAGGGAAACACAAACATTTGCATGTCTCTGAGTTATGTATCGCTTTAGCAATATTCCTGCAATATCACGGCGGGGGACACCAGAAACGGGCGTTACACATGGTACCGATGTGGAGAATCGAACCCGGGTCTTCGAGGTGACGAGCGAATGTTTTAGCCACAAGGCAAACCACACAACCCCTTTCTAATTTTGGGCGTTGTTTGTTAACAGGATTTCATATGTTTGGTATGGTAGCCTATTCTTGGTATACTAGACCTTGATTTGCCAATCAAGAGATTGTGTCTGTTTGTGTTTTTAGCCTGCGTTAGAGTTTGCATATGGTATCAAACGTTGGGATACTGTGCGTATTGAACTGAACACTAGTCTTAACTAGAATGCTGTTCCCCAACACATATTGTAAATATCGTTGACTTATTTTAGTTGGTTGGTTGGTTGGTGTTTAAAGCGACACTCAGCAATAGTCCAGCTATATGGCAGAGGTCTGTAAATAATCGAGTCTGGACCAGAGAATCCAGTGTCAGCGTGATTTATTTTAAGTGTAATCGATTTTGACTAAACAAACAAACACAAAACCTGGAAAGAACCCACGTTTGACCCAGTGGCCTAGTTGTTACTAACTGTTTCGACTTGTAGTAGGGTCCTGACACTGTTATGATGGCGCATGACATGGACGGAGCCACGTCCAGATGAATAATCTCGTAGCTCTCTTCTCGTTTCTTTGAAATGGTGCGTCAATAATTTGCTCTCATAATACCTATTCGGGTCTTTCATATGGTGATACCTTTGTGTTTGGCACAATATGTACCAAAAATCATCGTCATGAATCCCCGGGAGACATTTCCAATCAACTGAACAGCACAGCTTGTTCATATACAGCCATTGATCCAAGTAACGGATTGCGATTGTGAAGGACAGCCAGTCAGGTAACTAGGTGAGCATTTCAAAAGTATGCATGCTTACTGAGTACAGAAGACATTATCGGTGTGACAGGCCCATGACGTATGTACAAAATTTACTTACTTTTGTTTCTAGCTTGAAATATAGTTTTGTGAACGATTCGTGGTTATATTGGGAGTAGTATTGAACATCCCACTTAGTTCTTGTTGAATGTTTAAAATGATTTGTAAAGATATCTATTATCTATTAATATGAATGCAAGATGTCGTTGGTGGAACCACTATTTGTGTATCTTCGAGGGATATGTACCACTGATATCAAAAGCTTGATTTGGAGTGAGTAAGCGAGTGAGTTTGGTTTTACACCGCCTTTAGCAATATTCCATCCAATTCACGGTGTGGGACACCACAAATGGGCTTCACACATTCTACCCATGTGGGGAATCGAACCCGGGTCTTTAGCGTGACGAGCGAACGCTTTAACCACTAGGCTACCCCACCGCCCCCTATGTGAAAAACCGGTGTTTTTAATGATACAAGTATTAGCTTTGACACAGTGTGAGAGCATGCTCTGTAGGGTATTTCAGCAACATATATTCATGATTCCATGCGTTTTAGTTACTTGAACTGGTTCGATGTTTCTGCTGGATAACTAAAGTGTGACCATAATCCCAGAAGAATATACCTATGCTGATTCAACTGTAAAAGTAATGTTTGGGCCGAGACATTAAAACTGCTCCAATGTGTTGCAAAACGAATCACTTCTTAAACGTTTTACTTGATTTATAAGCAGCAGAATTTCTGCAGTTGTACACCACTGACATAATATAAAATTAAGACACCGTTTTATTAGCTTCATCGTAATCAGTAAATGCATTACCGAGTCACCGTCACGAGGAGCCAGCTGGTTCAAACCTTAATAAAGTCTATGTTCTGCTCATTTTCTTATCCATCGTTCACTTGATTGTCCGGTTTGATTACAAGCCTCTGTCACTGGGCAGGACTAGCGTCGTGGGGCGTCAGGCAATATAACACTACTTTTATATGCAAATTATGTGATTAGCATGTGCTGGACATACCTATTAATTTTTAACTTAAAAGAACACACCTAGTGTCTTCACTGGGTTATCTGCCCTTTACGCCAAATAGGCTTTATTTTGGCGGATAAACAAGACTGGGTATTTCTTGCATTGGCGTTTCCAGTTTACACCAATCTTGAGAACAGTGAGCATCGTTTGTACCCAGGTTTCATCTGGTGCAATAGAGACTACGTCATTAGCGTCCATTAAAATATAAACAGGATTTTTCTCCGTTTGTGTTCAACAATTAGGGATATTGATTCTCTCTGCAACGATCCATGTAGACACATGCATGTTTTACACCAACGACCACGGTAGAACAAGAACATTGATCAGCGTTCAGTATTTTCCACGAGCATCAATATCTGGACTGACGCTGTTAAAATATGTCAATGCTGGCTTGTAGTTTTCAGTTTGAGGTTGGAGAAAACGGACTTAAGCTTTTCCGCACACGGGGGCAGTAATAGACTAACCCTAAGTCTCTGAAAATATATATATCAGAGAAAGAAATAGCTCTATTTAAATTGAAAAGGAGTCCAGTAATATGGGCGATCCAGAAGCAGAGGCAATCTAGACCTGCTTCATTTATAACATTTGTATTATAGGGAGTGCTGGAAAGGAAAGTAATATTTTTCAGGGAGGGAGTGAGTGAGTGAGTTTAGTTTTACGCCGCACTCAGCAATATTCCAGCTATATGGCGGCGTTCTGTAAATAATCGAGTCTGGACCAGACAATCCAGTGATCTATAACATGAGCATCGATCTGCGCAATTGGGAACCGATGACATGTGTCAACCAAGTCAGCGAGCCTGACCACAAAGCCACTCTGTTTTTAACACTTGAACATATGAACGTGTTGTGATTCTGAGAAGGGCTGCATCCTCACTATGAGTTATGTCTGATAGTCGATGGATGATAACCAAATTCTGTAATAGGCCTCAGTGACACGCCTGACCGCCAAGTTAAGCATATATAACCTACAACACTTCGGGCTCCTCCCAGATCAAAATGACACGACCTGATCAACTAAAACAAACAAAATATAGTAATATAATGGGGTGTATTTGAAACGGGTATTATCGTGTTTACACCTTAAGCTTACAGTATTTCGGCAACAGCTTTCAGCCAAGTAGCGTTTTGATAATGTTTCCAACAAATCTAATTTATATAGTATATACTTTCATTTATGCGTCAATATTTGATTTAAACTTTTCTCTCCTAAACATCGAAAACATCACCAGTGTTGAAACATCCCTTGATGTTTACACTGCACTCCAAAAGGTCATCACGAGACATTTTCTCGTCAGAGTTCGGTATGAAGCGCATGCATTACGTGCAAGAGGTAGGGTGGAAATACTTCACCTTGTAGGACCCCAGTGTCTTCCTACGTTGAGTCAGACAGTGAAAGCATGCTCATGTAGGTTTAGGAGTAAATAAACTCCACAAACGTACTGATATTTGCTCACGAAGTGATGTCAACGTTGGGCACAAATATAGGACTCGGTAGGGTTTCGAATGTTCCGAGCGTACAAGGTTCCAGTTCAACACTAAGGTACATCATGTTCACGTGACACCTATTCCAGGTGAAGTAACTGAAAGTAATATTTTATGACGTGTTTTTGTGCCAGGTCGCTCATATTCTATAATGGTTTACAAATCGTTGTCTTTGTTTCAGAAGATGGTTTGCCTTCCGCAACTACGGCGATGTGGATTTACGAAGAGACGAGGAAGAAGAGTGCCGGGTCTGATTGCTGGTTTAGTGGCAGTTGTTGTCATCGCGCATATTTTTATAAACGGTAAGTAGAACAGTATTTTTCATTCGAGTTAGAAAATTCTACGTAAGCTTATGTACCTGAAAGGACATTTCGCTGTGCATTGTTGTGTCCCTAGAGGGTGGGTTCGAATCCAGGGTGCCGTTCCTCAAAGCGATCGTAGCGTTACCACAGTCGTAAGTCTATGTTAAAGTGTGGGAGTTACGATCACCTTAGCGCTACGATCGCTTTGAGGGACGGGGCCCTGGGTCGCCCCGATTCTGTTTCTAGGTCAACATTATAATAGTGATTGTGTGTTTCACCATGATGAGGGACGGTGGGGTAGCCTAGTGGTTAAAGCATTCGCTCGTCACGCCGAAGACCGGGTTCGATTCTCCACATGGGTACAATGTGTAAAGCCCATTTCTGCTGTCCCCCGCCGTGATATTGCTGGAATGTTGCTAAAAGCGCGGTAAATTCACTCACCATGATGATGAACGTCGGAAGCCAGCATCACACCTGCTTGCCCCCAACACCACGCTGACAGTCAGTGACATAACTGGGATACTTGAAAGGGGTGATAAAATCCATTGCCTCACTCACTCTCTTCATCTTCACCATGATTAATACTGCGAGCCTATGTATAACATTAAGCTGATATAAACTGATTTTAACTGTATGGTTTCAGTGGGAACGCTATTTCTCGGAACAACTATGTTCAACTGAATATTTACCTTTCAGTCACATGCGGCGTAAAACTAAACTCACTCATGTGAATTAGAACGATTACATCACCGGTGTCGTTGAGACTATTTGCCCATTCATTTGCCAATTCATACCGAAGTCCATGTCCTTCTGTCATAAAAACAATTTAGACCCGACTGTCACTTGATACACGTTGTATCAAGACATGTATTTTTCTGTATTCCAAGGTTTAAACATAAAACAGGTATTATAGAAATGCATGTACCAAAATGTGATCGGAATACTTAGGAGTTAGTTACCAGAGAGTACAGAGAATTAAACTGACCCTAACCGAGGGTGTTAAAGAACATCTACAGAACAGTGAGTGAGTGAGTGAGTTTAGTTGTACGCCGCACTCAGCAATATTCCAGCTATATGGAGGCGGTCTGTAAATAATCGAGTCTGGATCAGACAATCCAGTGATCAACAGCATGAGCATCGATCTGCGCAATTGGGAACCGATGACATGTGTCAACCAAGTCAGGGAGCCTCTTACGACAAGCATCGTCGCCTTTTCTACAGAACAGAAGCTACTGTGTATATGTAGATGTGAAAACGTGGTAATTTAATCTTGTGTGACGGACAAGGTCCTACCATTAAATGACATTTAGCAGAGCTTCAAAAGAGAATTCAGCTGTATTATAAAACAGCATAAACAATGTATAGTGCATTAACTTCATACTTACGTGACATGAGCGTAATTGATGAGATTTGCAGAACGTTATTTGATATTTTAATCAATACACCTTATGTTCAATAGTTTAGGCGCGTCACTATGCAATCAATACCTTGCCAATTGGAATTGTATTAGCTCACAAAGCGGTTTTGCTTGTATTTCCACTGATTCGTGATTGGCTGATAAAATAAATATACTTTTCCTAAAAGTAGGGCATTGTCGTACATTACTGAATATTTCCAAACATTGTATAATATATTCGTTTCTAGTGATTGTTGTGTGATGATAATGAACGATATGGGAACATATTACAATTGGCATTGAAGTATGTCAATATCAACCAAAGTGCGACAATGCGACAAAGAGTCAAATGGCCTAAATGTCGCGTTGTCGCACTTTGATTTATTTTGCAACTTGTTTTTGTGAAGGCGACAACGCGATAATGCGACATCGCGACAATGTCCCTTCCAGGGTTTCATACGTAACAGCTGTCATGCTTTTATGTTACTAAAACACTACGTTCCTGGCGTTCTGAATCAGAGGGGCGATGGCATAGCCTTGTGGAAGCGTTCCACCCACGGGGGTACAACGTTAGACGCCATATACAAACTCCAACGCTGGCTTAGAACACAAAAAGACGCAACCGCTTGGTTGGCAAGTCACAGTAGAATATACCCAGAATAGGCTACCATACCAAACATGTATGAACCCTTTGACACACTAACAACTCCCAGATTATATAATTACTTGATAGAAAGGTGCGGTGGGATAGCCAAGTGGATAAAGCGTTCGCTCGTTACACCGCAGGCCCGGGTTCGATTCCTCAATTGGATACAATGTGTGAAGTTAATTTCTGGTGTACTTCGCGTTCTATTGCTGACATATTGTTTAAAAGTAGTGTACAAAAATACTCACTCACTCAGAAACAAACTCGGCCTGTATTCTGTAATTGCCGTTAAACTCATGTGAAAGGGTCCGAATCATATATGCCAGTTTTAACAGTTATGTCAACAAGATAATTTACCAACTCTGATGTTGAAACCTGAGTGAACACTTGATCGTCAGAATCAGGTAAACGTAAAGCGATGCAGACACAATTGTTAGCACAGGTATTCCATGTCGCACTGTGATAAATACTTCAAGGTTAATCAATGCATGTCTCATATCAGGTACACTGGCCCAAAAAAAGAAACGCATAGCTGAATTCTGATCTTCAAAGTAGATTGTTTCGAAAAATATGGCATGGAATGACTGTCAATATTAATATTAAGTGTGAATATAGCCCATACAATTATCCAACACACGCAAACACAACCTTTGGTGATTATTCGCCAAAACACAGCACCTTGAAAATATCCCCGTATAATCTGCATGTAGAAAAATCTGAAAGCATGATGCACGTGCAAATACGGGATCTGAATCTTGATACTGATGGGTATAAAAAGCCAGCAGTCCTGTTGCGATTCATTCTCCGAAATTCTGTATATGCGACCCTCAAGATGCCACGACTAAACGAAGAAAGCAGAAACAGAGCCACTTGGAAGCTGGAGAAAGCCAGTCATCAGTTACCAGACATCTAAACGTGAGGCAGAGTACGATTTCCCGTCTCTGGCAGCGCTACACGCAGCACAACTCGACCAGAGATCGTCCTAGGAGTGGGAGACCAAGGGTGACAACTCCAGCGCAAGACCGCTTCATCCGGGTGTTTCATCTGCGAAATCGGACCGTCACTGCAGCGTACACCACCGACAATGTTCATGGGCTGCGTTGAGTCTCTGCACAAACCATCAGGAATCGCCTAAGTGAGCATGGAATCCGACCGATGCGACCACATACAGGACCTGTTCTGCGACACCACCATCGTCGTGCACGTCTTCAATGGAACAGGAACGTTCGGCCATGGACCCTCTTGAACTGGAGGAGGATCTGGTTCAGCGACGAGTCGCGGTTTCTGCTGTATGGACATGATGGCAGGATGCGGATTTACAGACGTCGAAATGAAAGATATGCTCGACAGTGTGTTCGTGAGGTCGACAGACACGGCGGCGAAGGTGTAATGATGTGGGCAGGCATATCTGTGAATGACAGAACAGAGCTGGTGCATGTCCAAGGGAATTTGAATGCTGTGCGCTATCGTGATGAAATCCTGGTACGTCATGTTATTCCCGTAATTGACGCTAGAAGAGAAATTTTCCAGCATGACAACGCAAGACCGCATACAGCACGCATTACAACAGATTTCCTTGCCATCAACAACATTACAGTTCTTCCATGGCCTTCAAAATCTCCGGATCTTAACCCAATTGAACATTTGTGGGACCAATTGGATCAACGTGTACGACGCCGACAGCCGCAACCACAGACACGTCAACAGCTTGTCGATGCGTTGCAGGATGAGTGGAGAAGAATCCCACAACGGCGGATCTGACGTCTTACACAGTCTAAGCCCAGGCGATGCAGAGCAGTGGTTGAGGCTCGTGGTGGTCACACCAGATAGTGACTTTGTGACCGTGCCATCAAAAACAGACTCTCAATACCACTGTGAATGACTATGTTTTTGGATACACATGTCCTAATACCTGTGTGAATTTTTATTGCTCTATTATCATTACTTGTTATGTAATTTAAGTTATTAAAGCATCACTGATAACACTGGATTTTCACCTATGCGTTTCCTTTTTGGGCCAGTGTATTATAGAAACTGTGGAATACTGTTAAATAAACCACACAGATCGTTTATTTTTTCATATTTCACCAGATGTTGTTTGCATGAAAATGGATCGATCAAACTCTGACAGTTTACTGCAATATACACACTGTTCAATATATGGGAGTGTTGTTCAAAGTCGCTGTAGGCACATGGCATCAATAACATCAATAACACGTATAGCAAGTACGTGACAGCCTGGCATGTGACGTTTCTTACCAGCGTTATGTGGCCGGACAAACGGCGTAAAAACATTAATTGTTTGTTAAAATGTCATGATATTTCTATGAACAATGATTTTACAGATACTGATTTGTTTTGCAGGTTACGGCTTGGATATTGCAAATGGAATAGAACTACTTCCAGGCTGGCCAGTAAGTACGGCAGTATCGAGCTTCACATTAAAGGCTGATCTTACTTCCAATCACAGGCGAATACAGGGGATTGGGTTTGCTCTGGCGATGGTCAGCCCTCTATTGTTTTAGCATTTGATGATATTGTTGTGTGAACATCTATCTTTTGATGTTTTAGTCCTCACACGGCTGACATTTTGTCTCTCACAACTATCCTACAACAGGTGTGGTTCAGTTCGGATTAACAGGGTGTCACGAAAGATGGTACATGAACTTTCTGCAATACTAAAGTTGATGAACAGTGAAACCTCGTTGGCATAGACAACCGTGTCTAGTTAAAATAGGTCGGGTAACTCATTTCCATGTTTACCCCTTTAACTGTGTACAGGCGTTCGTAATGGTAATGGGGCAGTGGGGTAGCCTAGTGGTTAAGGCGTTCGCTCGTCACGCCGAAGAGCGTTCGATTCCCCACATTGTGTGAAGCCCATTTCTGGTGTCCCCCGCTGTGATATTGCTGGAATTTTGCTAAAAGCGGCGTATAAATAAACTCACTCACTCACTCTTAATGGTAATTCCCCGATATAGGGTCTACAAGTTTCATCGCACTTGCAGGAACTGGATTACATTGCCATGATAATGCCTTTAGCTGAAACACACAGGAATGGCAGCATACCTTCGGAGCTAATTCTGATCTGATCCAAAGATCACCCTTTCCTTACACGGAAAGGGGCGTAACTCTAAACAGAAATGTGCGACTCCTATCAGCATGCATACGCGTACGAACCTGCAACTTTTGTTGTTCAGGTCTGTTTCTAATTTCAGATTCATGATGTTGGTGTCAATGCAAAAGCTCTGTCGCAAGACCGTCACCAGACTCTAGATCTAACCTATAATTCGACGTTCAAGGGAAGAAGGGGATATTTAATGAAACAGTATCACGCCATTCTCGACAAGGCACTCGGTGACGTTCAGGAGGTGTATAAAGTAAGTGCATGAGCCTTGAAATGATTCATGATTAGGGGCGGTTGGGTAGCCCAGCGGTGAAAGTGTTCGCTTGTCAAACCGAAAACCCGGGTTCAGTTCCACAGACAGTTACAAAGTGTTGTGCTCCCCCGCAGGATTATTGCTGAAATGATGATAATATTTTATTTTATTATATTGCACACAGAAAACGATATCTCTTGAGGTCTCGTTTTGAACCCGATTCGAATGAAATAGCATCCAATGAAATTATGAGTCATGAGATGTGAGAACAAGTTTGTGTAAAGTTTCTGATGGTCACACTGATGGAGACACTGACGTCACTTCCGGAATGAAGCTGAGACAGAAACCTGACAACTTTTTGAGTATTTCAAAGCAGCCATCCTATCTTGACTACGATTTATTTAAAAGAAAGATTATAATTTTTGTGTGAGTGGGATTTAAACCAGAGAACTATTTTAAGATTACAATGAATAAATCGCACACTGGACATGCTTGGTCACATTAAGGAAACCGGTAGAGAAGTTATACAAATTGTATCTAATGATATCTTTGATTGTACTCCAAAAATTCCGTGTGTTTTTTTCTTTAAGGAAATTGATGAGACGATATACAAGAAACGACTCCAACATGCCAAGAAGGCATGTGACACCATTCCTGGAAGCGACAAGGGCGTTCGTTCCACCATCCCTACTCTCTGGTACATGAAACAGACTAACATGCTGTACTGCTCTGTTGCTAAGGCAGGATCCAGCTTCTGGCGACGAACTTGGAATGCAGTGACCAAACAGAGAGGTGAAACCATACGCTCACCATATGAGTATGCATACGAAGACTTCAATGCAGGCCCCTATGTGTTAAGGCACCTGCATAAATTCATAGACAGCGACGCTGCTCTTGGAAATCTGGTTAATTCCTCGTTGAAATTCATGTACACCCGCGACCCATACAGCCGTATTTTCTCTGCGTATGTTGATAAAATACTGGCTCCCAACACCTACCTATGGGGACTTGGCAGAAAAACCATATCGCAGTTCAGAAATGGCTCTTCTGAGAAAAGCCGTTCTTGTGGTCATGACGTCACGTTTGGTGAATTTGTCAAGTCCATCATATCTACACCAATCACATCACTTGATGCCCACTTCATCCCCGTCACGGAGTGGTGTGACGTATGCAGTCTCCAGTATGACGTCATCGGCAAGATGGAAACCTTTAAGACTGACTCCATGTATCTTATGCATAAAGCGGGCATCTTAGGTAAACGAGTTGAGATTAAAGACTTTGGAATAGAATACACCGCCGACTCCTTCGTGGACTATGTCACGCGGACATTTTTACATAGGGGGGGTTTTGGGAAGTGTTTGCCATTCCATACGGCCATTCGTCGTTTATGGAGACAGATGCAGATAGCCGGATCTATTTCCAAGGAGGAACAATATCCATTAACACCGGCAGAAAGCGACACGGTAACCGAAGTTCAGTTGATAAATGTTATGCTTGGTGCATTTAAGCGAACGTCCTCAAGGTCAAGGTCAAACAAGAAGGAGGCCTTCTTACAAGCCTACCGGCAAGTCCCGTTGCACGACCTGGAACAAATACGTGCGAAGTACTCAAAGGACTTTCTGTTGTTCGATTATGACGATAGACCCAAAGAACTTTTTGACAAAACGGTTCAACCACACATAAAATTTGATTATTTTGATGTAATGAAAGAGTGAATTGCTTTTGATAAACTACATATACAATATAGTAGCTTGTTTAAAGGTTCATGTGCACCGGCCCGAATTCACTCTCGTTCAATAAGGAAAATGTTTTTAGTCTCGCCGAATCTTTTTTTGCGAAGCGTAAATTTAGTTCAGTTATTTCCAGTTTGATTAAATCAAAACTGAGGTCAATGCAGGAAATGAAGTTAGGCTTTGATAGTATTTGTTTTTTTTAAATCACACCTATTCCTTATTGTACTAAACCAGAGATCGTACACCAGTTTATGGTGTCTGACTAAACCGACAATTCATTTATATTATCAGTTCTGATGATGATGTTGACTGTAATTGCTAGCATGACCTTAGGGTCTGGGACAATCACAACACGAAACGAAGAGTCATAATTTTATAATGACATCTATTTTGTTAGCTGCTTATATATTTTTATTGATATTGCCGTTAGTTGTGGGTTTTTCACATAAAGTTATTTATGCCAATATTGTGTCACACAGTTCTCCTGTCCGCTTCCCCCCTCCTTGATAGTCTATAGTCTATCAATTAAGGAAATAATTTTCATCATTTGCACATTTCTTTTGTGCTTTGGTCCTTTTCATATATATCCATGAACACATTTCATGTCACAATACGTGACACAGTTCTTGATCCCTGAATGCTTGATCCCTGAATACTTGATCCCTGAATGCTTGATCCCTGAATACTTGATCCCTGCATACTTGATCCCTGAATGCTTGATCCTTGAATACTTTATCCCTGAATACTTTATCCCTGAATACTTGATCCCTGAATACTTGATCCCTGAATGCTTGATCCCTGAATGCTTGATCCTGGAATACTTGATCCCTGAATACTTGATCCCTGAATACTTGATCCCTGAATACTTGATCCCTGATCCCTGAATACTTGATCCCTGAATACTTGATCCCTGAATACTTGATACCTGAATACTTGATCCCTGAATACTTGATCCCTGAATACTTGATCCCTGAATACTTGATCTCTGAATGCTTGATCCCTGATCCCTGAATACTTGATCCCTGAATACTTGATCCCTGAATACTTGATACCTGAATGCTTGATCCCTGCATACTTGATCCCTGAATGCTTGATCCTTGAATACTTGATCCCTGAATGCTTGATCCCTGAATGCTTGATCCCCGAATGCTTGATCCTGGAATACTTGATCCCTGAATACTTGATCCCTGAATGCTTGATCCCTGAATGCTTGATCCCCGAATGCTTGATCCCTGAATACTTGATCCCTGCATACTTGATCCCTGAATACTTGATCCCTGAATGCTTGATCCCTTAAATGCTTGATCCCTGAATGCTTGATCCCTGAATGCTTGATCCCTGAATACTTGATCCCTGAATGCTTGATCCCTGATCTCTGAATGCTTGATCCCTGAATACTTGATCCCTGAATGCTTGATCCCTGAATGCTTGATCCCTGAATACTTGATTCCTGAATACTTGATCCCTGAATGCTTGATCCCTGAATACTTGATCCCTGAATACTTGATACCTGAATACTTGATCCCTGCATACTTGATCCCTGAATGCTTGATCCTTGAATACTTGATCCCTGAATGCTTGATCCCTGAATGCTTGATCCCTGAATACTTGATCCCTGAATACTTGATACCTGAATGCTTGATCCCTGCATACTTGATCCCTGAATGCTTGATCCCTGAATACTTGATCCCTGAATGCTTGATCCCTGAATGCTTGATCCCTGAATGCTTGATCCCTGAATACTTGATCCCTGAATACTTGATCCCTGAATGCTTGATCCCTGATCTCTGAATACTTGATCCCTGAATGCTTGATCCCTGAATACTTGATCCCTGATACTTGATCCCTGAATGCTTGATCCCTGATCCCTGAATACTTGAACCCTGAATGCTTGATCCCTGAATGCTTGATCCTTGAATACTTGATCCCTGAATGCTTGATCCCTGATCACTGAATACTTGATCCCTGAATGCTTGTTCCCTGAATACTTGATCCCTGAATGCTTGATCACTGATGACTGAATACTTGATGCCTGAATACTTGATCCCTGAATGCTTGATCCCTGAATACTTGATCCCTGAATACTTGATCCCTGAATACTTGATACCTGAATGCTTGATCCCTGAATACTTGATCCCTGAATACTTGATTCCTGAATACTTGATCCCTGAATGCTTGATCCCTGAATACTTGATCCCTGAATACTTGATACCTGAATGCTTGATCCCTGCATACTTGATCCCTGAATGCTTGATCCTTGAATACTTGATCCCTGAATGCTTGATCCCTGAATGCTTGATCCCTGAATGCTTGATCCCTGAATACTTGATCCCTGAATACTTGATCCCTGAATGCTTGATCCCTGATCTCTGAATGCTTGATCCCTGAATACTTGATCCATGAATGCTTGATCCCTGAAAGCTTGATCCCTGAATACTTGATTCCTGAATACTTGATCCCTGAATGCTTGATCCCTGAATGCTTGATCCCTGATCCCTGAATACTTGATCCCTGAATACTTGATCCCTGAATGCTTGATCCCTGATCACTGAATACTTGATCCCTGAATGCTTGATCCCTGAATACTTGATCCCTGATACTTGATCCCTGAATGCTTGATCCCTGATCCCTGAATACTTGATCCCTGAATGCTTGATCCCTGAATGCTTGATCCTTGAATACTTGATCCCTGAATGCTTGATCCCTGATCACTGAATACTTGATCCCTGAATGCTTGTTCCCTGAATACTTGATCCCTGAATGCTTGATCACTGATGACTGAATACTTGATGCCTGAATACTTGATCCCTGAATGCTTGATCCCTGAAAGCTTGAACCCTGATCACTGAATACTTGATCCCTGAATGCTTGATCCCTGAATACTTGATCCCTGAATACTTGATCCCTGAATACTTGATCCCTGAATGCTTGATCCCTGATCACTGAATACTTGATCCCTGAATGCTTGATCCCTGAATACTTGATCCCTGATACTTGATCCCTGAATGCTTGATCCCTGATCCCTGAATGCTTGATTCCTGAATACTTGATCCCTGAATGCTTGATCCCTGAATGCTTGATCCCTGAATGCTTGATCCCTGATACTTGATCCCAGAATGCTTGATCCCTGAATACTTGATCCCTGAATACTTGATCCCTGAATGCTTGATCCTCGAATTCTTGAGAGCTCATGGCACAGTTCTTTACACAGTTCATGACCCTTGAATAACGCATCCTGGTATTCTTGAATTCCGATGTTTAGTCCTTCGTGTCTCCATCTCCGTCATTCCATTCCAGTGGACTGATGTTCTTTATTGACCTTGTGAGTACATTTTTGCCAACCCTGACATCAACTACTCTGACATGTCCATCCGCTCCCGGGTAGGTCTGCACTATTGTCCCGAGTTTCCATTGTCCTCTTGGAGTGTGTTGTGAGATGACCAACACGACATCTTTTTCTTGCAAGTTTCGACCTTGTTTATTCCACTTTTTGCGCGTGTTGAGGCTCGGCAACCATTCTCGCATCCATCTTTTCCAGAAATGCCGCACAAGTTCCTGAATTCTTCGCCAGCGTCTTCTCGGGTTGAAGTCTTTTGAATCCACACATTCAGGGGCAAATATACCTCCAGCTTGTCCATGAATGAAGTGGTTTGATGTCAGTGGTGTCTCATCCTGAGGGTGAGCTGACTGGTATGTGAGAGGCCTGGAATTTATGAGTGCTTCTGCTCTTGCCAATGCTGTTATCAGATCCTCATCTGTTACGTCACTCTTGCTGAGGATGGCGTAGATAGCACGCTTTGCTGCTTTAATCATTGTTTCAAATATTCCTCCAAAATGAGGAGTGTGTGGAGGATTAAAGAACCATTTTACTCCTCTATTTGCAAGAGATCTCACAACGACATCTTGATCCATTTGTTGAACAAGCTCTTTCAGTTCTTTTACTGCTCCAACAAAGTTCGTACCATTGTCAGAAACCATGACTTGAGGAAGACCTCTTCTGCTTACCATGCGATAGAAAGCATTTAAGAACGAGTCTGTATCTAGGCCAAAGGCAATTTCGAGGTGACAGCTCTCGTCGTTCAGTGTTTCAACGATCATAGATTCAAATCGCTATTATTGGTTTGTATTACAAGGGGGTAAGCGTAGTAGTTGGAACAGTGAAACAAATGCACGTGCGGTACTGATGAGCGTTAACTTAGACCAACCATACTTGTTCTAGGTGTTTTATCTAATGTGCATACCCCCTTGTAATACAAACCAATAATAGCGGTTTGAAACCATGATCGTTTGTTAAACTACTTTTATCCTAAGTTGAATAAAATTCTGAGATTTAAATGTTCAATTGGCAAGGTAAAATTATAAGGATTCGCAATCTTATTTTCACTTTATTCGATTTACTTTTTTGTTTAAAGTGAAATTCATCGGTACTTTTTCACTGCAAACAGACTATAGTTCTCTCCATCCCAAAACCTATGCATCAAGGTATTCAGTTCAACTTCTACCTCATTTGTGAAGTATGCATCTGCAAATCCAATATGAGGATTCTTCCCTGTCTCAATATTACCAATACATGTCCGCCCTAAAGGAGTCCTTCTTGCAATTGGCTCTCCAGGGTTTCCTTGAACCTCTTCATAAGAGCAATGCAAATCTAAGTGGTCAATACCTATCAACAAATCAACAGATGGACTTTTCCCTTTGTTTGGGAATTCAATGTGCTGCAAATGACGCCATTTGTTCTTATACTTTTCCCAATCAATGACTGTCATGTTCCCTGTGACCTTTCTTGTTGTCAATGCTGTAAGATTTCTATTTACAGAACCATCCATACTTTGAAGTCTAACTTCTACAGGCTTAGTTTCAAACGTTTCCATTCAATACATTAACAGACATTCTTTGTAACTGTCCTTGCAGACCCAATTCTGCTGCTACATCTGCATTTATGTAAGAACTGGTACTAGCGTCATCTAGCAAGGCATTAACAGTGACATGTTTGTTGCCATTTGAAAGTATCACTGGTACAGTTCGAAGTGCCATTACAGCCTTCTGCACTACATTAGGTAAAGTGGTGTGAGACCTTTCACTTTGATTCTTTTGAATTTCTTCAGTAATACTTCCAGTCTTAGGACATTCACTTTCTATCCTGGACCTGTTTGATCCAACATGACTATGGCTGACTGACTGACTGAGTTTGGTTTTACGCCGCTTTTAGCAATATTCCAGCAATATCACGGCGGGGGACACCAGAAATGGGCTTCACTCATTGTACCCATGTGGGGATCGAACCCGGGTCTTCGGCGTGACGAGCCAACGCTTTAACCACTAGGCTACCCCACCGCCCCAGCATGACTATGGGCATCAACACGGTGCTTTACACCACTAAGACCACAAATACAGTTTTAAGCGAATGTTGTTTAACGCTGCAGTCAGGCATATTTAATGATCCAAGTTTGACATTGGCTGGAAA